CTGGAGAAAATGCAGCTGCATGGGTGTGAAGTGTCTGGAAAAAGATGGTTATTTGCAGCACTTGCTTTCCTGTCAGAAACACTTTTTTACTGGGCAGTGAACCAATCCCTGTCCTCCCTCCTTGGAATGTTCTTGGCACACATTGACACTGTTCGCAGGGATGTGAAAGGCTGATTTTTGCACACTATGTGCATTACAGCAGGTAAAAGTATGAATGAGGCATCCAGGTTTCCAGTATAACACTGAGGAACACTGGAAAGTGCTGAAAGGTGACACTTAACCTTTACTCTGGAGACCTGAGTAGTGTTTACTCTTCTACAATGTGGTGGTGCTCCTCACCCTCCTTATACTCTAGGTCAGCAGTGTCCAGGCCCTCTGCCATGGGATAGGAGCACTGCTTTCAACTCTCCCTCACTCTGTGGGATTTATCTTGACCAAATTCACCATTTTTAAGTTAGAACTTCAATGGCAACTCACTTAGCTGCTCAGGGCAGCAGCTGCACTTGCTCTCCCTGCTGAAGCTGTGCCAATGTGCAGCAGAGAAGCACAGCTTGAGGCACAGTGCTGTATCTACTGCCTGCACCCCACAGGGCCGTGACCTCAGCCAGCAGAGGTGCAGCGTGGATTGCTGCCTCTGTTGCCACTATTTTCACCATAGCTGATCTAAAGACTTCACTAGTTCAAGCACAAAAGGTCCCTCAGAGCATGAGGGGCAATAGCAAAGCCCTTTCTCCTGGGTGGGTGCCTCAGCTTTGCAGCTGCAGACTTGGAGATGTGTTTGTGTATTCTTCACCTCTTGGAGGTCTTTAACTCTTGCATCTACCCTTCATCCTTCCCCTGAATTTTCCATCAAGTCATTGGAACTGTAATGATGGTAGGGAGGCACAGACTTACATCCTCATGTGAACAGGCATCCATTTCTCTCTCTGTGGGCTGTGTTGTCTCCAGCACAGCAGGAGAAGCCCATTGTGGTACACCTCTTTCCTGGCTAAAATTGGTTTGTCCTTCTGTTTCTTGTCCAGCAGCCAGTTAAACCTCTGTGGGTCTGTGCTGAGGATGGGTTTGGTCCTGTCTGCATGTAGAGAGGGTGTCCAGAGGGATTTCTTTCAGCATCACTTGGAATCAAGTGAATTGCACTTCAGGACTCTTCATGGGCTGTCAAAGGAGCTGACAATCTTCAGAGTTAGGGACTTACCACTGAAACATCAAAGGTAGAACAAATGTGTCACATCTAAAGCAATTTGCTGCATTTTGAGCAGAAACCCTGTGTCCCAGCCCAAATCTAGTCATGGTTTGGTTGGGGGTTTTTTTCCATAAGAAAAGCACCATGTGCTTATAAATTGGTCTTTGCCAAGTTACTTGGTCTTGAAAAGAAGTGCTCTGTAATAAGCTGCATCATTAAAAAGAAATTTTTCTGTGAGCAGCAGAGCCTGGTTTCCTGCGGTTTAGTGCCTCATGGTGGGATTATGTTGCATCTAATGAGGAGCACTCTGGCTGAAGCCTTTTCTCCTGTTCATAAAGACACTGTCTCATGTGAGTTCTCTGGTGTCTATAATCCATTTGGGATCAAACTGCCATTGTTTAGGTTCTCTCCTGTCTGTCAATGTAATACTGCCCACGTGGCCAGCTGTTCCTCCCTGGAGACATGAAAGGGTCATCCTGCTCTACCCTGATGCCTGTTCTCTCAGAAATGATTGAAAATTAAAGCATTTGAGAATTCCATCCCATAGTTCAATTTGACTGAAATTGGCCAACAGGATAATAGATAATTGAGAATAATACTGGACTGACACAACAATATAATAAATCTAATTTTATTAGGTAATTGGGCAATAAACGGTAGAAAGTAAATACCAGAGCAGTTTAAACATGGAAAAATTGTTCATAAATATTTATTCAAGCATTTAAATACACTCAAGGTGACCATTTTTTGCCTGTTTTGCATTTCAATTTTAGCACTTCAATTCACAGCCATATGAATGACCAACAAGAGCACAAACATCCCGATAGTTACACTTACACACCTCAAAAGTAAATCTAAAATAATATTTTTCTCTGAGACTTTTTTTGAAAAGTGACAAGGAATTATTAAAAATTTCTTTCTAAATACTATAGATTTAAAATTTTGAAACAGGAATATAAAACAATTCAGAAATGAGATTTTGAAAATGGTTCTTACCAAGTCAAAGCATAAAAATAGATTATGTGGTTTGTACTGAGTTTCCAGAATTTTCAATAAACCTGAAATGAACAAAGTTAGACCAGAAATCCTTTGTTGAAGTGGTTTGTGGAAATATTTCAGAAATGTGAGTTGTAAAAGGAAATTCATAATTATGTGCACACACTCAAAAATATTGTATATGTTGCTCATTGTAATTTATTTCTCCAGTTCCAGAGCTATAGAGACATGCTTGTCAAAAAATTTTTTTGAAGATATTTGTATTTTCTTACCTTGGATGCAGTTTAGATGGATGAGCTACCATTGTTCTCCATGTTTCTCAAATTAGGAGAATGCATTTCTAAATTCAATTTCATCCTCAGTGGAAATGGTTTCTCTTACTCTGGTAATCTTTGGAGAAGAATTATTCATAGTCTATAAAGCTTCAAATTTCAAAACCTAATTTTGAATGTTAGTCAAGAGGTTAATTTAAAATTCATCTTCCAAAAGGGGAGTTAAATAAAACTGATAGAAGGCTGGAACTTGTCAAGTGGTTGAGAGGTTTATCAGCATGTGAGTATGAGTTCATTAGTTTTAATTAGTATAATCACTAATTTTGCATTAACAGTTTGGTGAGAGAAAGTAATTGCTCACACCCACTGCATTAGATTGGGAGATTAGAATTCATTTTATGAGGCAATTAGCATTTCAGGAATTTTTTTAAAGGCTTTTATGATCTGCCATTGCAGTAGCCTCCTTTACCAAAGAGTTTAAATTAACCATAACTTTCATCCTAATGGGATGCAAAAATTAATGTAGAATTAAGTGTGAACCAGTAATCCCACTGCGATAAGCAGGCAGCTAAAGCCACAAACCTTGATTAGTTTATAATGACCTGTTTTATTTCCCAGACAATGATAGCCATTTATCTGTCCTCAATTCATTATCTTCTCCAAAAGTTTATATTCTTGAATTTTATACAGCAAAACAAATAAAATATGCAGAAGGCACAAGTAGAACAGTACTACTGAAGTTATAATTGTCAAAAGAAAAAACTGCAAGTTTCAAGAGTAAGGCTTAATTTGTCAATTATTCTTCATATCAAATGCCAGAAAAAGAAGAAACAGCTCCCTTTGACATCCAGTGCCTTGGGAAGAGCCATGAATTTCACAGCAACAGCAATCACAACCCTGCTCTATCCATCATAACCTTTGGCAGCTACTGACACAATGAAAATGGATGGAATTGTCATCCTGGTTGGCAAGGAAGCCCTGATCTGAGATTTAGGACAGTTTGCCCAAGAGATTGCCTTCCAAAACATCCTGTAAAGAAATGCGCAAGTTCTGGTGGGAAAAACTGCTTACAGCAAGGCTGTAATTAACCTTTTCATGGTATCCATAACAAGACAAGACAACACACCCTTTGCAGCAAATCTGCCACCCATTATATAGGATTAGGCTTGCCCCTGGATAAAACAAATCTCTGCTCAAAAATCCTAAATCTGATGTGAATTGGATGAGGCAGGAGGAGAACAACTGTTAAGTGTTAGAACTATAATGTAGTTCATGCCATTTTGGGTACATATGTTAAAATAAGGGGGTGTGGGACACTATTTAGGGAATTGCATTAATCTTCCTAGGGCATATGTTAAAGCAAAGTGTATATATATATATATGTATATATGTATGTACATACTGCTGTAAGGGACGTTAGTGGATGTAAGAGATGCACCTTTATAAGAGAGTTCAGAGAGAAAAAAAAATGCTTAAACAGCTAAAATTTAGGCACGGCTAGGCAGACTGGATCTCAGCCTCTCTGGCATCAGCTGGTGTCACCTTTAGAAGCTGAACTACTTCAGCCAAGATCTGCACTCTAAGGGCTACCTCACTCTACAGGCTGCAGAGGCAGTCCCAGGTAACCAGGTTTCTGTCTTGGGTAGGTGAAGTAAATACTTAAAATTGGGTAAGATGAATCATGACCACCATGCCTGTGCCTTAGGGTTTGTCTATGCACACAGTTACTGTGGAGAGACATAACTCTTCCTGAATAGCATTACATGTGAATACACTTTCGGCTGAGTGAGACTTATTTCTCTTCAACAATATCCTCTTGAGGCAGAACACTTTGCTTTTTAGTCCTCATGTGGAATTCTTCTGCAAGAGCTGCTGCCTTTTTAGCGAGCTGCCCTATCTTAATCCAAATTTACTTTAGTATAAAAATGCCCTCAATCTGCCATCCAACCACCTTTGAGAGCAATTTAAGATTTATGGTAGTAAGAGCATCAATTAGGCACAAATACATTGACCAAAAAAATAGTGACGGTATCATATACAATAAAAACTGACATTTATTTCACAAATTATGGGTGTAATAAAGCCTATTGTTTCAGGAAAAATGCCTGTATTTGCCCGTATGTTTCATTAAAGAATAACAATGCCATACATATTTCATTCCCTTGTTCTGAACAGCACAACTCTTAACTGTATAAAATGCCCCATGCTGTCCTTGCTTTGTTGAGTTGTTCTTTCTTTTTAATCAGATTTTTCCCCCTGAACTAATGAAATTGCTCCTTAAACACATACATCATTTTCATTTGAAGTGTCTTATCATGGCTCAAACAGTTTGTCTGCTCTCCTGGAGAACAAGGCAACTGCCATCTCCTTGTGCTGTGCACATCCAGGTCTGGACTGCCTCTGATCCCCGGTGTGCTGAGTTCTCTGAACCCCCACTGTGCTGCTTTAGGTGGAATATGGGTGACTGATGTCTGTGGGGTCTGCACCTTGCACATCTGCACTGGTTTCTGGTCCACTCGCTCTCACATTTAATTTCTCTCTTCCCGTAGTATGCACCGACCCGCTGTGCAGCTGCGCAGGCGTCCACAGAGCAAGGCATCCTTCCTCCCTGCCATCACCACGAAGCGGTGCACGACCCCCAGCTGGTCCCCTGCACGTGCCCGCTCTTCTCCTGCCCGTGGGAAGGGCATCTGGAGGTGGTGGTGTCCCACCTGAGGCAGACCCACCGCATCAACATCCTTCAGGGCGCAGAGATTGTCTTCCTGGCCACGGACATGCACCTGCCCGCACCCACGGACTGGATCATCATGCACTCTTGCCTTGGCCACCAGTTTTTGCTGGTCCTCAGGAAGCAGGAGAAGTACGAGGGCCACCCCCAGTTCTTCGCCACGATGATGCTGATCGGCACGCCCACGCAGGCCAACAACTTCACCTACCGGCTGGAGCTCAACAGGAACCAGAGGCGCCTCAAGTGGGAGGCGACCCCCAGGTCGATCCTGGAGTGTGTTGACTCTGTCATTTCAGATGGCGATTGCCTTGTGCTGAACACTTCCCTGGCTCAACTCTTTTCTGACAACGGAAGCCTAGCGATAGGAATTGCGATAACCACCAGCAAAGTTCACAGCTCTGAAGCTGAAATGTGATGGGGAGGAGGAAGAGGAGGAGGAACAACAGCAACAATAATGGTGCTCTAGCTGCCTTCTGAGAGCCAGAACTCACAGACTTTTTATGGGGCGGGTCTCGGGTCTTTTATGGTATTTAGTACTTGTCCACAGTGGGCATTATGTAAACATCCCGTGGTTACGATCCCTGTGTCATGTATTTACCGTTTTGCTAATACAATTTTATGAGAAATTTTAAAGAGGCTAATCAATTTATTGTCGCACTCCAGCAGCACTGAAAACAACACTTATTGATGAAAAGTGCGCCCAGGGTGACTGGCAGAAACCTTTGGTGCTATAGAAATATGCTATAGAAATATGTTTCCTTCATTGCCTGCCTAATGGACCAGAGGCCCCTGTGCCTGATGAAAGATCAAGTATTCCAAGGGACAAGAGCACCCAGGTTTCCATATCAGTGATAGTGATTTAACTCCTGTATTTTGGGCACAGCCAAGTTCTGCAGGAGCTGGCAGTTTCTGAGCTTCCTTCAGCTTCTGAGGAAACAACTTTCTCACCCAAACAGTGAAAGCTTAGAAGATAAAGTCACTCCTCTGCTGAGCAGAGGGCTGGGAAGCCTCATCGTGCATTGAATTGGGAATGGCAGCTAGTGGTTGGTCACTGTGATCATGGTTAAATCTCTCTCTTGTATCATAAACAGCAGGGAGAGATTGTTAGATGGTCTGGCCATAGGATGGATATAACCATACTCAGCCATTGGGGCATTAATCTTTTTAGCTGCTGTTTCCTTAAGCATTCAAAAAGAGATTTAAATAAAATAAAGTATAAGAAGGGTCTTAAGCTGGGTACTGCTCTTGCTACTGAATTCTGTGCCAGTTAGACCCTCAGCGTGTGCTGCTAAATATTGATGCACAGCAATACAGATAGGACACCTATTTGCAAATTGGCTTTGAGATCTGACAGGCACTTCTTTGAAAAAGAACTCAACAGTTTTTTGCCTTGCATAAATTTTGTGGGGTGGTGGTGAGGGGTGACCGTCACTTTGTTCTCCTGAGGGTGTTTCACAAACAGTGATGGTCACAAAAAGACACAGGCTTCTCTAAGAGCTTCTTCCCTTGAATGGTTCCTTGGGGGAGAGTTGGAGGCAGGTGCTGGCCATCTCCTGTCACTCATTCCCATCTGCAGTCAGGCCTGTTTCCTCCACAGCCAACAGCAGCAGTGAAATCCCACTGCTGTAGGTGACGTGTTGAAGGAGGGGGTTCAACAGATAGAGTGACACATGAGAAGCATGGGAAAGTGTCTTTTCCTGTTTTCCCTTCTGCCTGTGTGTGGCTGTGGTCTGGCTGCTCCCAAATGCTGTTTCAAGAAACATCTGGTGGGTTGGGTCAGTTAGAAGCCAGAGAGACTGAGGATCATAGTTTGAGCCCTTTGGAGAACCAAGGAAGGGGAGGAAACAAGATAAGAACAGTCCTTCAGTGTCTCAAAATGCATCTCACTCTAGCTTTGGGTAGGCAAAAACTCTGATGCTGATCTCTCCCACCCGTTGCTCTCCTGAGGATTGCTATAAATGATGCATAAAGTAAAGTGAATTGTAGTTTTCCTGAGATGAATGCCATGCAGGTAAACGAGTTCTGAGGCATAGATGCACCTCACCTCATTACCTAGATTTTCACAGCAGGTCAGAGAAGGCTGAGGGTCTCTTCAACAGGCTGCTCATGACCACACAATCTGAGGTCTGAGGAAAACTCAGTCTCTGTAAGAAGGCACTGGAGCATAGCTTCCCAGCTCTCCCATCTCTGAATTTAGGGGGCCAAGGGTGGCACACTGATTTGCAGTGCCTCACTGGAACAGGCAGGCTTCAGAGTGGCTGGATTTTTCCCTGCGGTGTTAAATATTCAGGACCAGCAAATGCTGCCCTTTCCCTAAATGATAGCAATAAATAAATCATTGGTGTTTTTGTGGACTGAAACTGGCTTCTCCAGCTCCTCTAACAATTGTTCTGCAGCTGAATTAAGATGAAGCAAAAGCAATAAAACCTCAATAAAACCAGTTCCTCTAGTTTAAACTTCCTGAGCTCTTTGTACAGTGGTGTAGAGACCAAATGTAATGATGCTTTTGTTGCCTGACCACAAGTTCTAGGGTGAGGAATATTATTTAATTATTCTTTTTTTTAGTCTATTTACTTCTTGTTAGTTTGCACATTTTTTTCTTGAAATATCGACTGAAATGTAGGTATTTTGGAGCATGGGCCTTGCCAAAGGACCAGTGTATTTCTGGCAGGACAAGTGTGACAGTATCAGCTCTCTGGAATGGGTATCTCCACCTCTTGCCAGCACCCTAGTTTTGAAGGAGGGATATGTGGAAATGTGACCTTCCCAACATAACTTTCCACACATCCCATGTGTTCTTCTCCCAGAGCTTTCTAGTGACCACATGAACAGTTCAGCTTTTCCATTTTGTTTTCAGTCTTCTCCCCTCATCTATAGCTGCTTTCCTCAGCCCATTTTCAAGCCCTCACTGTGGTTTCACCCCGTGACTTGCAGAGCCCATGGCACTTCTTGCCTTCTCACATTTGTACCTGTTGGATGCTATTGTTTAATTCATTCTCACTGAGTTCTGAAACCAACAAAGTAACCTCCTTTATCAGTTTTCTCCACATCTGCAAATATCCAGCTCTGGCAGGGATTTCAGAAATTCAGATACATTGGAGTACTGAGGAAAATCTGTCCAGTGAGTCTCCCAGTAAAGACAAGGAAGACCTATTCTGGGAAGAAATGAGATATGGTTGCCTAAATCCAGCTTTCATAAGTGTCTCAACATGAAGTGCAAATGTTTTAAGGTATACTTAAGGACCTTCTACCATAGAAAATATTCTAATTCTGTCATAATTCAAAGCCTGTGAGCAACCTTATACTGCCATAAAGCAAAGGTGAAGCAAATATTCTGCATGGTAGCACATGAATCCTAAAATACTGGCAGGTAGGATCAACAATGAAATTCAGTTGCAAGCATTCTTTCAGTGCTCATGGTTTAACACTTTTTACAGCTCTGCTTATGGTTGAAAGGCAGCTGAAGCTTGATCTGAAATCAGGGCTTCTAAAACTAATTTTGTACTCTAATATTTTGCATCTTTACAATGTATTAAATCTGAATTCCTGCCTTCCTGTGAAGAACAGAGCCTTACATCTCTTTGAAGTAAGGAAGTACCCTTCGTGTGGTGCAGGAGAAAATGAGATCTTCCAAAATTGTTATGCAGCTGTTGCAAAATTCTGTTTTCCAAGATACCGGAGGGTGGTGTTCTGTCTTTGTTTTGGTGGGGTTTCAGCTGTTCTTTGATTTTCTACATAGACAAAATATTGGCTTTGGATTTGTGGTTTTATTTTCAGGATTTTTATATATCTCTGTTCACAGATGGATTTTCTTGTGCCTAGTTTAGTAAATTACAACAATAATTTCATCAGGCTGAGACAGATGGATTGCTACCAGACCCACTAGAAAACCTACTTTGGTTCATCTGTACTATCCATCAGACACCACGTGAATGTAAATGTCAGATCTGCAGTAAAACAGCATTAGTGCTTTCAGCTCAATCCCATTATGAATTAAGCTCACATCATATATCCATGACTCCTTATAAATCAGATGAAGCATCCTGAGTCTTATCATCTTGAAGATGACAAAGAATCTTGCTGTGCCAGTGCTGGCTGTAGGTCTTGTTGAGAAGTAGGGCGGTCCACTTCTCACTGGACTTGATATCACACCTGTGTTTCATACCATCCTTAGGAATACAGCCCAGTAAACTACAGAAGGAACAAGGGGTAGTAAATTCTGGACAAGTTAGGGTTATAGCAAAATGAGTCACTTACAGTATATTGCTGGATGCTACTGCATGGCACTCTCTTTTGTGCATCAGAGGAACTAAATCCAATTGACAGTACTGTAGTACAGGTGATTTATCTGTTTTTCTAGCCCAACACACACCTGACAAACACTTTAATTGGAGAAGAGTCTGTCAGAACAGACAGAGATGTGCTTCTTCTGCAGCTGAATCAGAAACAGCTTCTCACATGGAAGAGCTGCAGATTTTGAACTGTTCAGACACAAGCATAAGTTTTTAAATTTTGTTTTGTTTTGTTTTAGTTCAATAAACTCTGCTGGCTCACACCATCAAAGTAAAGGGCAGAAAACAAAGATTGCCATGTGTCATCACCAGAACTCTTCACACGCAAATATGATTCACCTTCTGCAGAGATGAGCCTGTTTCACAGCAGGGTAGCACAGGGCAGCACCTGCAGGCTCCAGAGGCGTGCACATAAAGCTGAGGGCAGAGCTCATCCTCCAGACAGAAACTACTCAACAGGAACCTCTCAGAGTGTGGTCACAGCAGGGCTGCCAGGAAAGTGATTGGACCTTCTGCATGTAGCAAACAGCAGCAGTTAAGGCTCCGTGTAGAGAGGTTTTTCTTCTCATCAGCACCTTCCACCTGGCTACAGGATCTCCCCGCTCCTGGGAACCTTGTCTCTGGAGCAGTGCAGCTGATCAGATCAGCTGGGTCTGCGTGTGAATGGTCCTGCGCAATGATGCTGCATGGTGAGTGCAAACACCCAGCCCCAGCCCTGCCTGGCTCCTTTGGGTTTGGTGGGTACCCAGCTGCCTGCAGCTGCTGGTGATTCCTCCAGGTCCTGACACCCGAGAGTTCTGCTGTCTTTCACCTGCATAGCTCCCACCAGGGCAATAAAGTACTTGCTGAAAACCACACAAAAAATCTTTGGCAGAACATCACATTAAGAATCTACCTCATACCCCTGGCCAGGACTACAAGCAGTCATTCTTTCTCTCTCCACACAGGCAACAGACTATTGCATGGCTTTCTTATCTCCCTTTGGGCTCTGCCACTCCAGAAAATCACATGTGAAAGATTGGGAGGCAGTGATAATCTTCAAGGGAATAATGAGGACTAACTTTCATTGCAAAGATGGCTCTTCTCACAGTACTTTCACAAAAGGAAGCCAGGCTCCAAGAAAGAAACTAACAAACTCTAGGGGAAGGCAAATAGGAAACACCAATTGCAAAGCTTGCTGTCCTTCAACCAGAATGTGCTTCATGTCTTCCAGGGAGGGAATATCCTCCTGAGACTTTGCCTATCTGAATACATCACTTAAT